ACACACACACACACACACACACACACACACACACACACACACACACACACACACACACACACACAAAAAAAACATTTTCTTTTTGCCTTTGGATGCAGGTTCAATACGTTCAGTTTTCTAAAGTGTTGAAGCATTTCTTTCTAATGTCTGCAGCAGCAGGGCAACACAGCACATACCCTGTAGCTCTCTGGTCCAATGCATGCTGCATTTAGGTCCTAATAAGACCTTTAACACTTACAGTTTGCGGGTGTGTGTGTGACTCATGAGTATGTTTTATTGCACATCTTGTAGTATTGTGACGTGAAAATAATGTTTCAGGGAAAAGCTAAAATGTTTACACATAAAAAATAAAATGAAGGATTGGGAGTCTGGTGTTAGCCAGCCTGCTCTCCTTCCCTGGGGGTTGAAATATTGGTGTTTTGACAAAAACAACCAGCTCATCACACACATACACTTGGTCAGCAGCTTGTTGCATCAGTTTGCAACACTCATGAAGAGCTCTTTATTGATGTCCAGGTAAGAAAAAAAGTTGTGTGTGTTGCAACAGTAAAAAACTAACACAACTGTAAACATTTTATTGTCTAAAACTAGATGTCTTTTTGAACCTTACCTTTTAACAAAGTTTTAAAAACAAATTCCAAAAAAAACATACACACATTGACATATGAACAAACTGATCCAAAAACATTGGCAGTAGGGTTACATGTTTTCAGTTGTTGCAATTTGTCTCTACAGTTTAAAGTTGGACTATTTTCCACCTACTTCTTGTTTAGTTGCTAAGGGGGCTGCTGTAGTTCAGCTATCAGGTCCACAGTCTTGTAATCCTGAGGCTGTTGATTCCAGAGGTCATGTGGGTGTGATAGATTCTCCAATTTATAAAGTCTTCTAGAAGTAAAATAAGTTTGAAGGATATAATTCCAATGAATTTGTTGACACAGTGTTGTTGTACTCAGTGGTCTCAAAACCACTTTGTATTGGTCTTGGTCTCGTCTCTGACATTGACGACTTGTGATTTGATTTGATTTCAAGACCGGTCAAGACCACAAATGTTGAGATATCACTAATTATGTATTTTTGTTAACATTGTCACCCATCCCAACCCACTTTCACTCGCATCCCTCCAAGAAAGTGAGCACTTTAATAAAACTAGCTAGCCTACAATAGCTATCTGCCTGTGTACCAATATTCTCTCCTGACCCTCACACAAATAGATTTAATCAATATTATTAAGTTAGCTACATGTGTATTTTGTATTTGTTAGGATATATATGTGTGTGTGTGTGTGTGTGT